TATTGTGCATTTGTTACTAATAATATTGAAGAAATTAATTTATATCCACAAAATTGGGATATTTGTGCAAAAATTTTAGATATTTTAAAAATTTTTAATGATGCTACCACCTAATTAAATTAGTATTAGGGGTTTATTATCCCATAGTTCATTTATTTTTACTATGTTATTAAATTACTATTTTAGTGCACTCAAGAATTCTGAAAATGATTTTGTATTTAAAGATTTGTGTTTTTTCAATTGAAAAAAAAAATGTTATTTATTTTAAAACATATTACCACCCATTTTTTGTTGCGATTGTATTTGATTCCTAAATGTGTATTTGATCCTAAATGTAAAATTGAAGTTTATGTGAATATTTGACTATTTATTATGAATTATTAAATCTTGATATAGAAGATAGTGTTAATAAAAATGTAGTATTGCATGAAGTTAGACAAAATATATAGAATTATATAGTGAATTTGTTCAATTTTCTAGTTCATCTAGTTCTAATTCTTCTCAATTCAATATTTAACAATTTCCAACTCAAAGGTTAAGTAGTGTTGGTGTTGCTGAACGCGTTTTACTACAAAGACAAAAAAGACCAACGGAACCTGGTTCTTTTTCTGAATTTGATAATTATCTAACCACTTCTTTTAAGTTTGGTGATGATTATGCAGATAATAATTTTTTAATTTTAGATTGGTGAAGTCATCACGTCAATACATTTCCAATACTTTTTTTAATTGCAAAACAAGTTTTAGCAGCTCCGGTCTCCACTGTTGTGGTTGAACAACCTTTTAATCAAGAAGGAAACATACTTGATGAAACACGATCTCGTAGGACACCCGATTCACTAGAAGCACAATCATGCGTGGATGTTGGGGTAAGGCCGAACTAAGAGCATAAGAAAATCTAAAGGAAAATGAAGATTTATATGATCTTTAGGATGGGTCCTCAACGGGAACATCAACCAGTGGTGGAAATAGCGAATAAGGTAAAAGGGGTAAAATTGGTACAAGGTAAGTAAGAACTACGTGGGCTTTGATTCCTCTAAACCCCTTTGATTCCTCTAAACCCCAAGAGGATATGTAGGAAAAAAATTAAGCTCAAGCCCTTTTTTAAAAAAAAAAATTATGTTCCAACTTTTTTAAACAAAAAATAATTTTAGTTGAAGACTTTTTTTAAAAAAATAATTAAGTTCAAGTCTTTTCAAAAAACATAAATTTAATTGAAGAATTTTTTAATTTTTTAAGTGTATTTTTTTTTAGAAATAATTTTCACAAATTTTTAAATTTTGAAAACCGGTCTTCAAAATTTAAATTTTTAAATTTTGAAAACCGGTCTTCAAAATTTAAAATTTGAAATTATGTGATTCACCAAAAATCGGTTAGAGAACCGACTGGAACCGTCGATTTTGAAACCGTTAAGGAACCAGAACCGAAACCGGAACCATTCGATTCCAAACCGGAACCGAAACCGAAAATTTTCGATTCGGTTCTGGTTCCAAATTTTTTGGAATCAGAACCGTGGCCATGCCTAACCTTGACATCAATAATTGTGTCAGAAATCATAAAAAGGGTAGTGAAATGCCAAATCAAATTGCCACGATCTTCTTCTAAAAAAATCGATCATATGCTTGACTAAAAAAAAGCTTTTTAGCAACCGATTTTTCTATCGCTAAAAATAATCGTTCACTAATTCTATACGGTGAATGTTGGTGTTTAGTAAAATTTTACAGCATTTGCTATTAAAATGTAAAATGATTAAGGGTATATATAATATATATATATATATATATATATATATATATTATATATATATATTTATTAACTATATATTATATATATTATATTTACTCTATATATTAAAGCGTAAATAATATTATTATTTTTATTATTATAATAGAATAGGATTAACTAATATATCTCTCTATCTTCGATCGTACACGCACATAAATTTTTTATAATAATATAAATAAAATGATAAAAAATAATTTTATTATTAATTATTTTTATAAGGTTAAAAAAGTCCAAATATAATAAAAATACAAATCAATTACTATGTGATAAAAAAAAAAAAAACCTCAAAATGTAACCGGCAGAATCAATATCTACTTGAGACTTCTATCAACTATCAATTGTTGATTTAAAAGTCAACTATTAAGTGTATGAATCAGTTGAACAAAATACCTTCTTAGTAGGAACTGTTTTATTTATATTTCATCAAAACGTTTAAGGGAGTAACGTTTTATAACATTCTTATTCAAACTCTAAACACTCATATAAAAACTGCGTTTCTCAAATTCTAAACACTTATATAAAAGCTACACCCGAAATAATAAAATAGAGAGTGTTTTAACCTAAATTAAAATATTAAACACTATATTAAAAATTATTGCTGGGCAAGGCCTGGTGACATAATCATAGACAAATCTCATTAAAATTCATATATCTTACTACCACTTAAAACAGGGAATATCCAACATGATATACATTGGATTTTTTTTTTTTTTTTTTTTTTTTTTTTTTTTTTTTTTTTTTTTGTTGGGGGGGGGGTGTGGTGGTGTAATCCACAAATAACAAATTGGATGACATAAATGGGGTTTTGTGTTTATTAACCTATTATTGAAAATGGTGCAATGCTGCTTCTTAGTTACTGATACGAGCTCATTTTTGAATAAGAATATCATCAATAATTTAATAAGGTCCACACGCTTGTTGGTCGCTTTCCACGAGTTTCCGCATGCTACAGAGATTCTATACTGTCACATAAACAAATTTCGATCAACTTTCTTTTTTTTTTTTTTTTTTTTTTTTTTTTGAAAAGAGTTCATTCATACTTTTAGAGATACATATTATCTTTAGGTTCAATCACTAAGTAGCATTTATTTTTTTTTTTTTTTTTTTTTTTTTTTTTTTTGAAAGAGTTCATCAACTTCTTAGAGATACATATTATCTTTAGTTCAATCACTAAGTAAGATTTATGTAGTTTAAACGGCTGAGACGACTAGGAAAATCATACACATTTTTTTCCTTGAATTCAATTAATTAAACAATTAATGTTCGTTTTTATCATTTTAAATGAATAGTTATTTTTACCGAACACTTCTCATTTAAACCGTTATATAAATAGCTATTAGCTAAAGGGTCTATTCAGTAAATTTAATTATTTTTTAGTTGTTAATTGTTTTAGTACCGTTTAGCTGTTAATTGTTTGAATAACTTTTGATAAAATGCTAAATGCTAAACATTGCTTGAGTTAACTTTTTATAAAGCACTACCTTAACCTCTAAAAGCTTGTTCAAAACTTGTGTTACCAAACACTATAAAAAATATCAATCAAAACGCTAAAAGCTATTTAAAAAGCTGTTGTCAAATACAGAGTCAAAAACTAATAGCTAACAACTACTACAGTTACTTACTAAGGGAATTAATATTGCCAAATAGTCCCATTATCTTTAGTTCAATCATTAAGCAAGATATATGTTATCTGAAAAGCTGAAACGACCTACATCAGGGGACTAGAAAAAATTGTTTAGGGGCCAAATAAAAATTTTTAAAATTTTAGAGGCCTAAATATAATTTTTTTATATTTTAAGGGATTAATTTTTTTTAAACAATTTCTTGGGATGCCATGGCCCTTAAGTCTCTACGCCTGTACCCGTAACTTTTGCATTATTGTTAGGACACTGAGAAAGTGTACACTATAGCCCTAAATGGGTTACTTCTTTTCTTTGTTTTTTTGTTTTGAGGTCTGATTGTATTTTACAAGTTAGCTTTCACAATTCATATATAGAATTTTATTTATTTAATTCGATCAAAATCCCACTATCCATTTACCAGAATGGCTTTAGAATGACACTAACTACTTCCATCTTATTCATTTTTACTTATTTCAGTTTGAAATTGAACCAAAATTGATATATTATCATGTTTAAGTTGAGTCCTTGTTTCTGAAAAATAATTCAATATTTTTCTTTTTCATTGAAAAATATTTTCTAATCAACCCATTTCTATTTTTTACTTCGAATATTGAAATTAGTTAAAATAAGCTAAAATTTTCAATTTATAAGACTATCGAAACATATATTTAAATTATAGAAATTCTATATGTTAAATTTTCTTTTTTTTTACTCTTCTTTTAAGCTCTATTGAAATGTATCTTATACCACTTAAGCTACTCCTTATGGGAAGTAAAAATTTATTATTAAATATAAAAAAGAACATAAAAATAGTAAATGGTAGAAGTCACCGGTAATAACTGTGTTGCCGGTGATAATTAGAGGTAATAATAATGACTATCGATGATTGATAAATTAATAAATATGTATTTATAACATTATAATAAATTTATTAATGTTTGGAATTTTTTTCCGTTTAAAAGGGAAGTTATTTTCCCTTCCAAAAAAAAGAAAGTTATGTTCTTCTAATACCACTTAATCTTTTTTTAATAAAAAAATATTCATTTAATAATTTTCGTAAGCATCCCAAAGGTAAGATTATCTAATACTTCTGCTCATATTCTTGTAAAATCCAACAATATTTACATAGGCAATAAAACATTATCCTTCGAGTCAGGGGCGGAGCTCCATTGGGGTCCAAAAGGGCTGTGGCTGACCAAAAAATTTAAAAAAAAAAAAAAAATTATATTTTAATCTTTCAAAATATAGAAACATTACATTTAGCCCTCTAAAGACTTTAAAAAATTTTATTTCGCTTCTCCGATATAATTGTCCCAACTCCCCACTGTTTCTCGTTAGAAATATCCGGTACGGTCTCTACTCATAACACCGTAAAAACTTAATTACATCAATCATGCATAGGTCCTTTATAGTGGAGGATGTAGAAGAAGATACACTTGAAACATATTTTTAGTGGGCCCAAGATAAAAGGAAAACTTCTTTTCTTTTTTTTCTAAAAATAAAAAAGTACTATCAGAAAAGAAGAGGGACACACACAGAGACCCTAGCCTATATATTGAAGAGCTTGTGATGCTTAAAGAGTATCAGTAGTGCATTTCTCCAAGAATAGGTCAAAGACAGTGCAAGAAATGAAGAGTCTGATATACTATTCCAATGTTATAGAAGGCAATAAGCCTTACATTTCAGTGCTCTTTATACAGTTTGTATATGCAGGAATGGCTTTGTTCTCTAAGGCAGCAATTTCTAAAGGAATGAACCCTTTTGTCTTTGTTGTTTATCGTCAAGCTTTTGCCTCAGTTGCATTAGCTCCATTTGCTTTCTTTCTTGAAAGGTTTCTCTCTGCTTTTCCATTATTTTTGGGCTTAATTACCTTGTTACTTTGTTAATTAATTATTGGTGAATTTGGATTAATTGCAGCAAGAAAGCTCCTCCTCTATCAAATGGGTTACTTTGCAAAATCTTCTTCGTTTCCTTTTTTGGGTATGGTTTTCTACTAACTTAAATTGGTGAAGAGAAGAATTCTGCATTGACAGATAGATTTATATATCTGAAAATTCGAATTTTTGCAGACTTGCTATGAGTATGAACCTCTACTATGTCGCCATCAACAACACAACTGCGACATTTGCTGCTGCCACCACTAACATAATTCCTGCCATTACCTTTATAATGGCTGCCCTATTAAGGTGAATTCTGTGTTTTTTTTTTTTTTTTTTTTTTTTTTCTGCCATTGACCTTTTATAATGGCTGCCCTATTTAAGGTGATATTTGGTTTGGGGTGGGTTTTTTTTTTTTTTTTTTTTTTTTTTTTTTGAAAATAATTGAGCAATCAACATTAAAAAACCTTGTCGAAATGATTCTAAAATTAATCTATTCAGACTTGCCTGTGTTTTACTTCTGTATGCAAAAGACATTACTAAAATGTAGCCCGGGGCCTTTCTCTTTATGTTTTTGTAGTTTTTTTTTTTTTTTTTTTTTTTTTTTTTTTTTTTTTTGTTTTTTTTTTTTTTTTTCGTTAAATTTGTCTATGTTTAGTTTTTTAATATTATTATTAGATTTAAAGGATATTATATTATTTTCTTATTTATTTTTCTTTTGAAATAATATTTATTTCTCAATTTCTAAGGATTTATTGTTAAAGTATTTTCCTATTATTGTCTTTTTTTTTTTTTTTTTTTTTTTTTGAATAATTTGAGCAATCAACATTAAAAACCTCGAAATGATTCTAAAATTACTATTCAGACTTGCTGTGTTTACTTCTGTATCAAAAAATTACTAAGCGGAAATTTGCAGTTTAGTTTAATATAAGATTTAAAGGATAATATATCTAATTTCTTGAAAAATATATCAATTTCAGGATAGAAAGTATTTCCATATGGCATGTGCATGGGATTGCGAAGTTATTGGGTTCAGCAATAACAGTCTCTGGGGCTTTAGTTTTTGCCTTCGTCAAAGGACCTCCATTGAAGTTCATGAGGTGGTATCAAGACACTTCTAATCATAACCCATCCATGAAGAATTGTTGCTCAACACAAGAGTGGATTAAAGGGTCTCTCCTTATGATCTCAGCCAATATATTGTGGTCTCTGTGGTTTGTTTTGCAGGTAAGTAATTATATATACATATATTCATTTCTTTAATTTCTCTCTTTCTTTCATTTCTTCTAGTTAATTAATTAAACTTCTTTAATTGAAAATTGAAAATTCATAGTTCAATAGGACTCCATTACCACTAAGTCAAAGCTGACTGGTTTATTTCTATGTTATTAAATAGTGTAGTTCTTATCTGTGCTCTTTTAGGGTCCCATTGTGAAGCAATATCCGGCAAAATTGCGTCTCACAGCTCTCCAATGCTTCTTTTGCTGCATACAATCAGCTTTTTGGGCCATTGCTGTGGAGAGGAATCCTTCAGCATGGAAGCTTGGATGGGATGTTCATCTTCTTGCTGTGGCCTACTGTGTATGTCCTATACTCCACCATACCACTCTTTAATATATGCATATTAAATCTTTAATGAAGGCAAGAGTAGAATTGTAAATTAGTAATGGACCCGCTATTCACCGAGTTCAAATGAATTGTTATCAACTCGAGCATCGTATATAGCCCACAAGTTACTTGACTCATTTCTAGTAGTGCCGGTTAATGTTTGAGGCTCATCACTCTGAATAAGCCAGAAAAAGAAAAAAAAAATGCAGTTGTATATTCTGCTAAGAAAGGTAAAATATCTTAAAATCTTCACTCAGGCTATTTTATATATGATGTGTAAATACAGTAACCGCTCTCTTGGTCAATTAAGACTGGCATTAATTTTAATGTCCCAAAGTTTATGTCTTTAACTTTCTTGGATGTTTTGTTGCATTAGACTATTGGAAATCATGATTGATGGGCCCCTAAATCAACTATAGTGGATTACTTCATTAAGCAACCCACTTTTTCAAAATGCAAAGTGGAATATTTCTTTTATTATTATTTTCTTTTTCCTTTTCATTCAGATTTGATTGCAACTTCCTCCCAAGGGATAGGACGATTCCTTAGAAAACCTGTATTAGACTTGATTTCACTAATTGCACTTAAATTTAGATTCCATTGTTTGTTTCCCATAAATTAATAATTTAATTAAAAAATTTTCTGATGTTTGAGGCATTATTATAATTTTAATGACAGGGAATAGTGGTGAATGGAATTTCTTACTGGTTGCAAGTATGGACAATAGAGAAGAAAGGCCCAGTTTTTGCATCAATGTTCACTCCATTAGCACTTGTTATTACTGCCATCTTGTCGGCATTTTTGTGGAAAGAAACCCTTCACTGGGGAAGGTCTAATCTTTGCCTTTTTCTATAATTTAAAGCTAATTTCTCTAATTACAGCTAACTAACAATTTACCAACAAGTATTGAAATGAGTGGTTCGGCATTATTTTCCCTTAGGTTAAAAAGAGATCAAGAATTCGATCCTCATAAATGGAGCAAATACTCGCTGGGAACATTTTACCCTTTAGTAGGCCGACCCGGTCTAGAATTTAGTTCTAATTCAATGGACTGGGATACTTGTGATTAAGTAAAAAAAAAAAAAAAAGCTAATTAGTAATTACTTAACTAACTATAATCTACTATGTGACCATATGATCACGTATCTTCAATTGACCTTATTGCTTTTATTTCTTTAAGCATATAATTATGGACCATAATCCAGTCTTCTTCTTCTTCAATTGACAAAGGTTAATCTCTATGGCAGTGTTGGTGGGGCAATTTTGCTGGTGGGTGGGCTTTACGGTGTACTATGGGGGAAGAACAAGGAAGAAGCAAAAAGTGTAACAAATGAACAAGTTGCAGAAACTAACGAGGAAATCACATTGGAGTGCATTACACATCAGTAGGTGATGGGAATAGAAAAACAAGTGACCTTCTCCATGCCTATAATAATCACTTCATAGCTTTCCTTTCTAACTAGGAAACTTAGAATATGAGTCTAGTCAATTTTTGTTTTCTATTTCTTTGTTTCTTCCCTACTCCCCTTTTTTTTCAACCATATATAAATGGACATATTCATATAGATACATTAGATACATAAGTAATGTATGTTTGTATGTATTTTTGTATGTACATGTATATGTGGTTAAAACAAATATATGTTCATTTTCTAGAATAGCTAGTCTTTTCTTGTAACTAATAGATGAACATGGGGAAAGTCAAACTTTTATGGGTAAAAAAGGTATAAATTATATTATCTTTATCCAAAATTGGGTTTTAGAAATGAAATTATTTACACTCAATAAGTAGGCATGAATGTGGTTCCTGAACCATTGGTTTGGATTTCAAAACTACTGGGTCCGATTATAAAAAAGTTAGAATCAGAATCGAACCGACTTTAGACGGTTTCTAAGATGGTTTTGGAACCATCGGTTTTATTTTTTTTTTGGTTTTAAACCGAAATTAAATAATATATTTTAAACTCCCCATGAATGTGGTTCCTGAACCATTGGTTTGGAATTTCAAAACTACTGGTCCGATTAATAAAAAAAGTTAGAAATCAAATCGAACCGACTCTTAGACGGTTTCTAAGATGGTTTTTGGACCAATCCGGTTTTATTTTTTTTGTTTGGTTTTAAACCGAAATTTAAAATAATATATTTTAAACATTTTTTAAAATATTTTAAAAGAATTTGGCTAGCATTGAAATAAATATTGAATAATAATAATAAAATATTACTATTAAAAACACTAAATCCACTTAATTACTATTGAAAAAAACTAAATCAATTTAATTAAAATTCTTAAAATTACTTTAAAAAACTATAATAAAATAAAAAAATAAGTTGGGAGTTTTTTTTTAAGAACATATTTTCACGGGTTCAAACTAGAACCGCCAATTTTAAACTAAAATCGTCGATTTCGATTTCAAAAAATGAAAAATCGGAACTGAACCTTAAGTTCACGGTTCAATTACGATTTTAGAAGCAAAATCGTTGATCATGGTTTAATATCAATTTTAATCGGTTTGATTTCAATTTGATTCTGGTTTGAAACCGAACTATGATCATTCCTTTCAATAAGATGTGTTTTTCATTTTAATGAAGTGAGATGTATGTATAAAATCAATTCCTGAATCCTACACGAATGTAAAGAAAAGGTTTAATCTATCAAAATAATGTAAAATGGATCTGTTCATACATTTGCTATCAATTATGTTTTGGGGTAGATTTTTTAAATATAAATAATTAAGTTTCTGAGCATATAAATCAAATGTTCATAGTTGAATCGAATATCAATTTTGTAATGTGAAAAACCACAATTTAATATGATAACGATGGACTTAAAAAATAAAAATTGATGCAAACCAAGATATAATCTAATAGTAAGTGCATGTATAATCTGACAATAAATTTATATTCAAATCTCCTCTTGAATCCTAAAAAAAATAATAATAAATTGATGTATAAATTAAAATATAAATCAATTTTATACCCTAAAGTAATAGTTAACATAATGGATGCTTTTCCACGATGACCATGACGATGATGATGAAAGATTGTTGCTATTTTTTTGGCTCAATACATCATTTAGCTCTTGAATTTTGATAAAAAAAACATTGCGCCAAATTGAAATATAAAATCGACCTTGTGGCATTTTGAAATTCATTTTTTATAATAATTTTACACTTTTTTATACTAAAACCAATAAATTTTAAGGTTTTTTATTTTTATTTGCAAAATATTGATTTGATGTGTAGTTAATATAATTTTTAGAACAATAATTTTACTTTTTTTCATTTTTCAGTAAGTGTTTAATCGATCTAATTGTATAAGTTAAGGTGTTTAATTGGTCAAATAAAGTATTTAACATGTACAATTTTATAAGTTAAAGTGCTCAACTGATCAAAATAAAAGTTGAAGCTGCCATAAGATTTTTTTGTAAAACTACAGGGCGAATTTATGTATTTAGTTTTTTTTTTTTTTCCCCTTTTCTTTTAAGTTAAGGTGTTTTCTAATGAATATGATATGAGTATGGGGCTTTTTATTTATTTATTTATTTATTTTAGTATTAGGAGATTTCTGAGGTTTAAAATAGATTTAACCATTTCTTTACAAAAAAAAAAAAAAAAAAAAAAAAAAAAAAAAAAAAAAAAAAAAAAAAAAGGAGTTAACCATTTAGAAAGATTTGAATAACCATAGATATTGGTGCTTGACACCTGAGAAGGAGGTTAAAGTTATTCTCCTTACTGTTGACGGAAAAAAAAAAAAAAAAAAAAAAAAAGGAGTTAACCATTAGAAAGATTTGAATACCATAGATATTGGTGCTTGACACCTGAGAAGGAGGTAAAGTTATCTCCTTACTGTGACGGCCTTTGTTATAGCTAAAGTTGAGGCACTTGGACTCAAAAGCCCAAGATTCGAGTACTATTCATATTCAATATTTGTAATAAATTTAATAATTATCTAAAAGAGAGAGCTATTTTCATAATTTATACGACAACATATTAGGAAAATTTTTTTTTACATTCCTGTATATATCGAAATACTACTTTAGCTTTACTCGATTAAAATACATTAGTTTGTATGACGTGCATTTCATGTTGACTTTTCTTTTTATATACTCATTTTAACTCGTTTAATTTTTTATTTATATAATATTAAAGTATAAATTCTTATTTAGATTATAATAAATATGATAATTAATTTATATTGTACTTTATTTATATAATGAATTTTTTTTATTACATGTATTGCACTTTAACGTCTAATTGAAAAAATAATAATTTTTTAAGAGATTTTCATCTCTTTAATCTAAATTTGATTTTAAATTTGACTTGATTTTAAATTTCTATTTTAAAATACAATAACTAATATCTAATATTCTACTCATAATTCTGCGCATTTGAGCTGTGAAGCATAAATATATTGTTTAAATAAATTTTGTTATTAAATTATATTACTATTTATTTTGATTAAAAATAATTAAAATTAAAATATATTTTTACTTATTTAAAATTAAAAATACAAATATTTTTCTTATTTAATATACTTTATAAAATATAAAATAAAAGGACTACTATTTCAAAAATAATGATAAAAAATCAAACTCATTGAAAAAAATAGAGCAATTTTACTCGTTAAATTAACATGCAACTACTTTTATTTAAAAATAACTAAAAATTTTTTGCATATCTAATTTTATATTTAACATGCAACTACTTTTATTCCAATTATTTTAAGATTTTTCCTTTACTAAAAAAAAAGCTTCAAGTAACATAAATAAATACTAATATGTAATTTAAAAATTAATGCACAAACAATAATATTGGTAAAGAAGATCCTTCTTCAAGTTTATAGATAGATATATATGAGATTAGATTCAAAAACTTCAAAGTTCTATGTATTTGTTTAAAAAACTTAAAAATATCACAGGTATAATTATCTTTATATTTCTTTTAAAAAAATACATTTAATGAAATCACAGAAAAATTAAATAAAATTCTAAAAAATATAATAAAATATTGAATAAAAAGAGAGCTCTTGAATGTTTTCATCATTTCATCTTTAATATATAAAAACTTAAAATAAAAAAATAGCAAATATGTCCAAATAGCCATTTTTTCATTAATTCAAACTTTTATAGCGTATTGTTTAATAAGACTTCATTAGATTAAAAAAAGATAAACTTTTTTATATGATATTAGTCAAATATAATAATGTGTAACTAGTCCAAATAAGTGTACACCATTATCTCCAAAAAATTCAAAGAGAAATAATATATTTTAAAATTTTTATTTTAATTTTATTGTATTGAACTAATAGAGTCTAACAGTAAAGTGTTTACATATTTTAAAGGTTTCCGATTTACCTTATAGAAAACAATATTATATGAGAACCTATAATTAAAAACATCAAATTCTATTAATTTTAAAAATTATTAGACAATAATAATGTCATATCAAAACAAAAAATACATACACATATTTTCTCCAATTAAATTGATATAATAGAAGCTCTAAATTAATCTAAGGTAATTATAGGAAATCTTATTATTCTTCCATATTCTCACATTTATATATAGTATAAAATTTGAAGTTCATATATTTTCACTCGAGAGAGAATGAGATATGAATCCAAAAATATCCTTATGCTCTTTTATTAAACAAATAAGAATAAGAACCAAACATATTTTTAATATTTCTAAATTCTAACCTTTAAAAATTTTTAAACTAAATAAGGAGTTGCTTTTATTTATTTAAATGGATTATAAAATATCAAAATGATAATTAATTATTGAGAAGAGAAAATTCTAAATCAAATATATAAACGTAATTTAAATACAGTTTAAGAAAATAAATTAAGAAATAATAATTCAACCTTCAATAAAAGAAAATAATATAATTCTAAAATGCACAAACACAATTTAAATCATGGTCTTAAATATAATAAACCACAAAATAAGATACCATAAGTCCAAACACAATAATAGACTCAAAGGTAAAAAGTAAATTGTTACAATATATGAATTTTCAATTAAATAATATATGAATTCTCTAACTAAACAATAAGGTGATATTTTGTTCAACATAATATATAATGGAACAAAGATCACATTAAACAGTTGACTGTGGTATTTGGATGATTTTTTTTTTTTTTTCTTACTCCATAATGTAACGCAATGAGTATTATAAGCATATTTACCATTACAAAAATTTATACATAATCATATTTCAAATATGACTAAAAAATAAAAAAAAGTCAGAATATGGAATGGAATATGAAATTTATTTTATAATTTCATTCCATATTCCATTTATATTAATTTTTTAAGAAATATTTTCTATTTTAACTTTCATATTCTAAAATTTCATTCTAAATTAAAAACTTTTTTAGAAGAGATTCCAAATTAAAATTTTGATTTAGAATAAAATATAACAAATCAAATTACATCCTTGCTGAGTACTAGCAACAAACTTCAACTTTAATGCGTGTTTAGTCCAACTACTTAGTAATTATTGTTTGGGCTTTGTACTCATTATAATTATTTTTTAATCCATTCAGGACAACGCCCAAACCGAGCCCATTCCAAAAGCTTACCTATATTAAGCCCAATAACATTTTCATTTCGGGGCTTGTAAGCAAATGTTAGATTCAAAGTTTCACTTTTAACTAA